CCAGGGCCCACTCGGGCCGTCGACGGACGGAGCGCAGCCCCGAGGGGGACCGATGCCACGGAGCAGGCTGGCCACAAGGGCAGCATCGTGACGCTGAATTGCTCGTCCGAGAAGCAGCTGCTCGAGTACATGGTGCACTGCAGTCACACAGTGGTCGCGGTGCAGGAACATCACGTTGCTCATGATGACCTGGCAGACGCACAGCATCGGTTGCTGGGCGCGGGCTGGCAAGGCATATGGGCGGCGGCCAACCACACAGTCAACGGCGGCACGCAGGCAGGGCTAGCAGTTCTGGCCAGGCCGAACGTCATGATTACGCGCGGGCCGTGCATGAACGGACAGACCGTACTGGCTGGCGGTCGAGCTTTGCCCGCTCAAGTACATTGGGGAGTCCCTGGGGGAGTGGTACTGGTCTCAGTGTATCTTTACGTCAATGAAGGTTGGTCTGGCAATAATCTACACATCATGCAGGAGGTCAGTAGCTATTTGGAAAAATTGAATCATGCAGGCTACGATTGGATTGTGGCATGAGATTTCAACATCGAAGCATCCCAGTTCGGCGATATGCGTTGGCTACACGGGCTTGGTGGTATGCTTCGGGCTCCAGCGGCGACCACATGCAGACAGGCTATGCCTGGCAGTTGCATCGTTTTTTTCCTCACGTCGTCTAACTTGATGACACGAGTAGAGCAGCCATGTGTTCAGGAGGCGGCAACCACTTTTCCGCACCTGCCAGTGTATATGCATATCAGTGGCAAGGACATCCAGTTGTTTTATCGAGAGCTGCGTGGGCCGCGTGCCGTGCCCAAGCAACCGAAGCCAGGGTGCGCGAGGTTTCCTTTGTGTTGGCACGGAGTTGCACGTATTATAGATGCCGCGTGTGACGACAGCAGTTTGCAGGTGGCATGGGATGCTGTGCTGAGCCAAATTGAATTAGAGCTGCTTGCCAGACATGACGTAGTTGGCACCAAGGCTGAGCCGTTCGTTGGAGCATGTGGCCGAGTTGAGTTTGAGATTGTCAAGCTGCAGTGGCAACCACAGCAGAAGCGTTCATACTTGTCAAAAGCAGCCAATGCGTGGTGCGTAGCAGCCAGATGGGCGCGACACATGCGTAGGGCGAAAGAAGCTATCATTAATGTCACGGCGAAGGTAAGTCTGCAGCAAGAGGCAGGGGAGGCAGACACGGCCCACCTGCACAAGCTGTCGAGTTTGACGATTGAGCTAGGCCGCTTTTTGGCGAAGGTGCTAACTGAGACGGCCGTGCTCAGCGAGCTCGACAGCTGGGCGTCTGACTTGTTTCTGATGGGAATGGAGTTCCTTGTTCACACAGAAGTAGATGCAGTGCTGGATGCAATCGAGGCCAAAGCAACGGAGCTTGCGGAGGCACACAGTCAGAAGACCGCCAAAGCCTGGAGGGACTGGGCGGCAGCAAGTTTTTCGAATGGCGCGCGTTTCGCGCATAGGCACACGAAAGGGAGAGCGTTGCAGGAAGTGGTTAATGCTAATGTGACTGCTCGCACGCCCTCCCAGCCGTATCAGCTAGCCGATAAGGCCATGAAGGAATGGGAAGAAATTTGGTCGATGCACGATGCCGCAGTTCCTCTGTTGCCAGCAGAGGCGAAGGACTGGGAAGAGCTCCCACCTTTGACCTTGCAGGACTTGCAACGCGCCATTCTTCAGTTCCCATGGGCGACGGGAGTCGGCCAGTTCAGTTTTGCTCCTCGCAGTTTAATCTTTCTGAGCAGCCCAGGCCTGGAGGCCTTAGCGAAGCTGTTCATGAAGTGTGAAAGCCTCTTGATCTGGCCTTCGGACAGACTGCTGACGCAGCTCGTTCGCCTCCCCAAGGCGTCGGGAGGATGTAGGCTGATAGCGCTCTTGAACACGCTCCTGAGAGTCTGGTGCAGGGCCCGCAGGCCCATCGCGGCCGCCTGGGAGGTTGAGCACGACCTGGATTGTTTCTGGGGGACGGGAGCTGGTAGGTCGAGCTCGGACAGCGCTTTTTCCCTGAATCTGGAGGCTGAGATTGCGCACGAGTTAGGAGAGGACAGCCTCACAGTTTTTATCGATATGTTGAAATGCTATGAGACTGTCATTTTGCAGAGCCTGCTTCGCGAGGCCAAGCTGAATCGTTTCCCGATGAGATTAGCGTGGATGACGATTCAAACGTATCTGCAACCTCGTTGCCTGCGTGCTTTTGCCTCCCTGTCAGTACCAGTGCAGTCTAATCAGGGTATCCTAGCAGGCTGCTCCTTGGCCACTACCATGCTGCGGGTCCTGCTGCATAGAAGCTTGCAGGATTGCATGACTATATACCCCACGGTCAAGCCGCGTGCGCTGATCGACGATGTTAGCTTCCACTGGTCAGGAGAGCGCGATAGGGAGGGAGATAGCGTCGGCCAGGCAAGAGACTTGGCCAATGCAGTACACAGTTTTTGCCTCAGTGTGAGACCGCTCGGGTTAGTCGTCCAGCCGAGCAAGTCAGGTTTTGTTGCGAACACGAGCCGAGGCCGAGATACTTTCGCTCGATTGGTTGTGCCTCTTCGTATGCGAGCGAAGCGAGCGATGCGTAATCTAGGTCACGAGATGCACGGCACCAGAGTCTTGCGGGTGCAAGAAAAGTTGCGTCTTAAGAATATCAAGGCTCGTAGGCGTAAGGTGCGGGGCCTGAAGCACGCCGCAGGGGAGGCCGTGAAATCCTTGTGGAGGACGGGGCTACTCCCAGCTGGCGGCCACGGCGCCGGAGTGTCAGGGATATCTGACACAGCGATTCGCGAGCTTCGGACGCATGCTGGAGGCATGTGCGGGGCCAAGCCCAAGGCGTCGCTCACTCTGTTTTTAGCTACACAGCGAGACGACAGGTGCGACCCTATTTTTGATGCGACGGTTCCGTTGGTTGTCAGGTTTGCCTCGTTCATCTGGGACAATAGGGTCGCGCCTGGACGGCTCCGCAGAGCCTGGGAAGCGGTCAAGGCGAAGCTTGACCAACGCATCTCGTGGTCCAGAGCCCGTGGCCCCATCGCCTCTGTTTGGGTCACGCTCCTGCGCGTGGGTTGGGCGATGTTTTCTCCAACAGTGCTTGTGGACGATCGAGGTCGCCACGTAGATTTAGTCAGGCAGTGTCCAGGTGATGTGAAAGCTTTCCTGGAGGAAAGCATTCGCCGCTGGCAGGTAGATAGGATCCTACAGCACCTGCCCAACAGCCTTGGAGAGAGCTGCTGGAGGAGGGGAATGAGGAAAGCAGTGTTTGCTGTAAGGGACGTTGCGAGGCGAGGCGCCTTGCGGACGCTCTGGTCGTCAGGGGTTTGGACCCCCGAGAGGCTGCACAGCATTGGGCTCCGCAATTCCCCGCAGTGTTTTGTATGCAAGCAGGCAACAGGCAATGAGTCCCACCAATGGTTTGAGTGCGACGCCATGCTAGACGGGTTGGACGTGCCTGTTCCAGATTACGTCCTCGAGCTGAGGAAGGATATTAAGGCCAGGAATAATTCGCAATCTGGAGCGGATCAATGTTATCTCAGCTTCGGATTGCCGCCCGAGCCACAAGCACTGTCGCCCCCGAGCGATGAGTACCCTGTGTTGGGATGGGGGGACTGGCGCGGGCGATGGGGGCGGAGGGTGTACACCGACGGAAGCGGCCAAGCGTCGTCGATCCCAGAGCTGGCCCGATGTGGCTGGTCCGTGGTCGAGGTGGACGAGGCTGGCAGCGTGTTGCGTGCAATTTTTGGCGCGCTACCAGGAGCTGTGCAGACAGTGCCACGAGCGGAGCACTACGCAGCGCTCAAAGCAGTAGAAGTTGCGCAACAGCCTGCTATCATAGTGTCCGATCACCTGAATATGGTGCGTGAAGGGTGCGCCTGGTCGGCGGCCGCTGCCTCTTCTAGTGGCCGCCACGCGGCTGTGTGGGAGAAAATACGTCGGCACTGTCCCGAGGCTCCTCCTACTTTCGAGTGGGTCCCTGCGCACAGAGAGCTCTCGGAGGTTCTGGAGGCCCCCGAGTGTGACTTTGTCCGTTTCGTTGCTAACGAGTGGGCTGACTTCTTTGCCAAGCGCGGGGCCCAGGTGCATTCAACGGGCCAGACCATGCAGGATTATTTTAAGCAGGCCATGAAGGCGGCCAAAGATCACTCGCAAGTTTTTGCCTGGATGGCCCAAGCGGTCGCCAAAAAGAATGCTGAGCTCCAACCTAGGGAAGTCGTGCCGTCTCAGGTTTGCCGAGACGTCGCCGCCCCACAGGTTGTGATTGACTCGCATGAGTTTCGTTTCTGTGAGAGGCTGTCTGAACACAGGTGCCTGAAGTGCAACAGGTTTGCTAGGACGACCGATTCCTTGAAGGCCCTTCGAGCGAAGCGATGCGAGCCCACGGACCTTGCGAGAGCGATGGCAACGCGTTATTTTGCCCTCACCCCCGAAGTGTATCGGCACGCCTCGCGCGCGGTGGACGTCGCCGTGCGTGCTGCCGGCCTTGATGAAGGCCTAGGGCCCTCTGGAGGCCCATGCGAGGGTGGTGGAGTGGGGGCTGACGTCGTCGCCGTCGGGGTCGATCGGGAGGTGGAATTGTACTCGGAGCTCGGCCACGGGATGGAGCGATTTGGCTCCACGGTCATCTGCCTCGGTTGCGGGGCGTTCAGTGTGGCTGGAGGCCGCAATCGGAAGCTGCGTGCCCAGTGCAGAGGTCATTCGGACGTAGTCTCTACGCGTGCAAACGAGGAGATGCAGATCTCACGTGCGATGCGCGGGCTGCACCCCAGGTCGGGGGACCCTTGCCCATGACGACCTCGACGCCAGGTCCTCTCTGTCGGCTTTCCGACGTGGTGGGGACGGTGCTGTCGAGGCCAAGCCGCACGGTGCGATGGCTCGACGCCTCGCCGTGCGGCTCATCAATTTCTTCCCGCTGATGCGGGTCCGTACGCTCGGACTCGCCCTTCATCGCTCGCTACCTCCTCCTCCTCCTCCCCATCCTTGCCGTCCGCCAAGGCCCCACTGGCACTTGGGGCCCAGGCCAGGCTTCGGCTTCACCTCGGCTTCCTGCACCTTGTGTATCATGATGGACTTCGGCAGGCTGGGGTGGTTGCCCTGAGCGCGGGAGCAGGGGCAAGGGGCAGGCGAGGGAGAAGGGGGGGGAGGGAAGAGAGGGAAGGGGCAAGCTAGGAGCGCGAGCGTCATATCTGACGTCCTGCCCCTCCCTCCCATCCCATACCACTGCGCAGACCTCCTCCCTATTCGCACAATCAGATGTCGGGCAGGGCACAAACCGCGAGAGAGTACGCGATGCATGGTGCAGCACGGCGTAGCATGGCATCGAAGAGCACGGCCACAGCCGACGTCGTCGCGTCGAGAACGCGACTCATTTCAACAACAAGGTCGGAAGGAAACCAGAAATGGCACAGGACGGGAAATGTAAATGGACGGTTTGGAAAGCGGAAGCGCAAAATGAGATCAGCGCTGCAGCAGGAGCAAGATTTCTAAGGACCGAAACCGCGGAAATAAGACCAGCGCTGCAGTGGGAGCACAATTCGTAAGGACTGGAAGCGCGGAGCCGAAGCCAACGCTGCAGCAGGAGCACGACTTAAAAGAACCCAAACAGTGGAATGAGGTCAGCGCTGCAGCGGGAACATGATTTTGAAAAGACGAAGAACGGAGAACTGGAGCCAACGCTGCGGCCTAGGAAAACACATATTCATTCCCAACTCGGCGGCATCCTTTGTAACAAAGGAAAACGCGGAAGAGGCCAGGACACCTCACCGGCGTCTTCGGGGAAAAGAAAGGAGTAGTTTTAGGTCGGGCATGTCCCCCTACAGGCGGATTTGGGGCGAAGAATGATCAATGGTCCAAAAATACCCACAAGTATTCAGATATAGTCCCAAAATCGTCCCCTGACTATTTTGAACGACTTTTGAACATGCCTCCTGTAGAGGGACAGGCCCGACTTAAGAGTAACATTCAGACTGTGCAATCGAGGAGGGAAGGATGATCACGCGCCTCGCCCCGTGGTCATGTGACCCGAAGGCTGACCTGAAGGGGTCGGGCGCCAGGGCCAGGGCCAGAGGGAGAGGGAGGGAAGAGAGGAGAGAGGGAGAGGAGGAGGAGGGAGGGGAGGAGGGAGGGGAGGAGAAGGAGGGGAGGGAGAGAGGGGGGAGGGGCAAGCTAGGTGCGCTCGCGTCATATCTGACGTCCTACCCCTCCCACCCTCCCTTACCATGGCGCTGATTTTCTCTATCCGCGGACGCGTGTCGTAGCGGACATGTGGCTCCGCGCGCGCGTGCGTAGTGGTGTGGTGCGTGCGCGTGCGTGTTGTGGTGGTGGTTGTGGTGGTGGTGGTGGTGGTGGTGGTGGTGGTTGGTGGTGTGGTGGTGGTGTGGTGGTGGTGGTGGGGTGGTGGTGGTGGTGGTGGTGGGGTGGTGGTGGTGGTGGTGTGGTGTGGTGTGGTGTGGTGTGTGTAGTGTGGTGTGGTGTGGTGCTGGTGGTGGGTGGTGTGGTGGTGGTGCTGGTGCTGGTGCTGGTGTGGTGTGTGGTGTGGTGGTGTGGTGGTGGTGGTGGTGGTGGTGGTGGTGGTGGTGGTGGTGGTGGTGGTGGTGGTGGTGGTGGTGGTGGTGGTGGTGCGGCGCGGTGGTGGCGGGCGGATGGGCGCGCGAGAAAAGGCCCGCGCTGGGGCGAGAACGCCATCCTGAACGACGGAGGCCAAACACCGATCCGAAAATGAGGCCCACGCTGCAGCGGGAGCACGATTCGGAACGATTCGGGAGCAGAAATGAGGCCGGCGCCTCAACGAGAGCAGCATTTTGGGAAAAAATGACGCCGGCGCCTCAGCGAGAGTCGTTTCCCGGGATTTCCCGGGCATCCTGTGTGTAAAAAAACATACGCGGAGGGTGCGCGGCCATCACCCGGACGCCATCAGGGGAAGAGGGAGAGTATTTTCCGCCGGCGCCTCAGCGAGAGTCGTTTCCCGGGATTTCCCGGGCATCCTGTGTGTAAAAAAACAATACGCGGAGGGTGCGCGGCCATCACCCGGACGCCATCAGGGGAAGAGGGAGAGTATTTTCATGTTGAGGTATTGAGTAAGAGGAGAGAGAGGCGCTGCGGGGGAGAGAGAGAGAGAGGAGGGGAGAGGACAGAAGGGGGAGGGCGGAAGGAAGGAGAGGGAGAGAGATGGGAGAGGGGGGGAGGAGAGAGTGAGAGAGGGGGGGGGAAGGGGAGAGGACACAGAAGGGGGAGGGCGAGAGAAGGGAAGGGAGGGAGAAGGGGCGGGGAGAAAGAGTGAGAGAGAGGGGGGAGAAGGGGCAGAGGACAGAAGGGGGAGGGCGAAAAGGAAGGGAGGGAGAGATGGGGGCGGGAGAGAGAGGTGAGAGAGGGAGGAAGAAGGGGAGAGGACAGAAGGGGGAGGGCGAGAAGAAGGGAGGGAGAGAGGGGGGAGGGGAGAGAGACGTTGAGGAGGGAGGGAGAAGGGGAGAGGACAGAAGGAGGAGGGCGAGAAGGAAGGGAGGGAGAGAGGGGACAAGGGAGAGAGAGGTGAGAAAGGGAGGGAGAAGGGGAGAGGACAGAAGGAGGAGGGCGAGAAGGAAGGGAGGGAGAGAGGGGACAAGGGAGAGAGAGGTGAGAAAGGGAGGGAGAAGGGGAGAGGACAGAAGGGGGAGGGCGAGAAGGAAGGGGGGAGAGAGGGGGGAAGGGAGAGAGAGGTAAGAGAGGGAGAAGGGGAGAGGACAGAAGGGGGAGGGCGAGAAGGAAGGGAGGGAGAGATGGGGGAGGGGAAAGAGGTGAGAGAGGGAGGGAGAAGAGGAGAGGACAGAAGGGGGAGGGCGAGAAGGAAGGCAGGGAGAAAGGGAGAGGCCCGACTTAACAGTAATATTCAGACTGTGCAATCGAGGAGGGAAGGATGATCACGCGCCTCGCCCCGTGGTCATGTGACCCGAAGGCTGACCTGAAGGGGTCGGGCGCCAGGGCCAGGGCCAGAGGGAGAGGGAGGGAAGAGAGGTGAGAGGGAGAGGAGGAGGAGGGAGGGGAGGAGGGAGGGGAGGAGAAGGAGGGGAGGGAGAGAGGGGGGAGGGGCAAGCTAGGTGCGCTCGCGTCATATCTGACATCCTACCCCTCCCTCCCATCACTTACCATGGCGTAGATCCCCTCTCTGCTCGCACAGTCGGATGTCGAGCAGGGCAATGATCCCGAAAAGGTACGCGATGCATTGTAGAGCACGGCATGGCATGGCGTAGAAGAGCACCGCAAAGCGTAGTATGTCACAGCATGGCGTGGCGTGGCGTAGTGAAGAATTGCATCACAAAGCTTTGTAACGCAAAGCATGGCATCGCACAGCGGCCCCGAACATAACATTGCATAGCATGGCGTTGAAGATCAAAGCGTAGCATGGCACAGCACGACGTGGCACTTAAGCACTGCATATCACAGCTTCAGCTGAAGGCATGGCATCGCGCAGCGGAACGCAACCTAGCATTGTATTGCATGCCGTGGCATGGCACGGGAAATGACGCCAGCGCTGCAGCGGGAGCACGAGTCGGAATGAGCGGAAGCGCGGAAATGAGGCCAGCGCTGCAGCGGGAGCACGATTCGGAACGAGCGGAAGCACGGATATGAGGCCAGCGCTGCAGCGGGAGCACGATTCGGAACGAGGGGGGCCCGAAAATGAGGCCGGTTTCTCAGCGAGAGCAGCATTTTGAAAAAAACGCAGGCGACAACCCAACCCCAGGGGATCCTGTGTAAAAAAACAGTACGCGGGGGGGGGGGGGCGAACACTCCCAACCCGTCATCAGGGGAAGGAGGAGAGTAGTATTCATATTGAGTAATTGTAGAGCGGTGAGAGAGGGAGAGAGAAGGGGAGAGGACAGAAGGGGGAGGGCGAGAAGGAGGGGAGGGAGAGAGGGGGGAGGAGAGAAAGGTGAGAGAGGGGGAAGAAGGGGAGAGGACAGAAGGGGGAGGGCGAGAAGAAGGATGGAGAGAGGGGGAGGGGAAAGAGAGGATGAGAGAGGGAGGGAGAAGGGGAAGGACAGAAGGGGAAGGTCGAGAAGGAAAGGAGGGAGAGAGGGGGGGCGGGGAGAAGAGAGGTGAGAGAGGGAGGGGGAAGGGGAGAGTACAGAAGAGGGAGGGAGAGAAGGAAGGGAGTGGAGAGAGGGGGGAGGGGGAGAGAGAGTGAGAGAGTGATGGAGAAGGGAGAGTACAGAAGGGGGAGGGCGGAGAAGGAAGGGAGGGAGAGAGTGGGCGGGGAGAGAGAGGTGAGAGAGGATGGGTAGAAGGGGAGAGGACAGAAAGGGGAGGGCGGAAAAGAAGGGGGGAGAGAGGGGGGAAGGGAGAGAGAGGTAAGAGAGGGAGAAGGGGAGAGGACAGAAGGGGGAGGGCGAGAAGGAAGGGAGGGAGAGATGGGGGAGGGGAAAGAGGTGAGAGAGGGAGGGAGAAGAGGAGAGGACAGAAGGGGGAGGGCGAGAAGGAAGGCAGGGAGAAAGGGGGAAGGGAGATAGAGGTGAGAAAGGGAGGGAGAAGGGGAGAGGACAGAAGGGGGAGGGCGAGAAGGAAGGGAGGGAGAGAGGGGGACAAGGGAGAAGAGGTGAGAGAGGAGGTGGAAGGGGAGAGACAAGAAAGGGGAGGGCGAGAAGATAGGGAAGTGGAGAGAGGGGGAGGAGAGAGAGGTGAGAGAGGGGAGGGAGAAGGGGAGAGGACAGAAGGGGAGGGCGAGAAGGGAGGGAGAGAGGGGGGAAGGGAGAAAAAGGTGAGTAAAGAGGAGAAGGTGACGGAGATGAATGAAGGGGCCGGGCGAGAAGGAAGGGAGGGAGAGAGGGGACACAAGGAGAGAGAGGTGAGAGAGGGAGGCGCGGAAGGGGATAGGACAAAGGGGGAGGGCGGAGAAGGAGGGGAGGGAGAGGAAGGGGTGAGGAAGAGAGGGTGAGTGAGGGAGGGAGAAGGAAAGGACAGAAGGGGGAGGGCGAGAAGGAAGGGAGGGAGGGGGGGAAGCGGAGAGAGAGGTGAGAGAGGGAAGGGAGAAGGGAGAGGACAGAAGGGGGAGGGCGAGAAGGAAGGGAGGGAGAGAGGGGGGAGGGAGAGAGGTGAAAGAGGGAGGGAGAAGGGGAGAGGAGAGAAAGGGGAGGGCGAGAAGGAAGGGAGGGAGAGAGGGGACAAGGGGAGAGAGGTGAGAGGGGGAGGGAGAAGGGGAGAGGACAGACGGGGGAGGGCGAGAAGGAAGGGAGGGGAGGGGGCGGGAATGGGGGGATGGAAGGGGAGACAAGAGAGAGGGGAGGGAGGGAGAGATAGAGGGCGATGGGTGAAGGGAAGGCACAGAGAGCGGGATGAGAGGTCAAAGAGAGAAGGTAAGGGACGATCAAGAGCGAGGGGAGGCAGTAATGTTCAGAGGGACGAGAGGAAATTACATACCCAGAGAGCGGGGAGGAAGGGAAGGGGGGCGAGGTGGGGTGGAAAAGAAAGAAAATCCGCCGACCTTCGGCGTGTTCGAGAGGCCTTGTCCTCGTCGTCGTCGTCGTCGTCGTCGTCGTCGTCGTCGTCGCCGTCAGTCCCTAGGAAATTTAGCAAGACGGATACGAAGTGTCGCAGTTAAGCCGCATCCCTCTCCCCCTCCCTGACGGGGGCGTGGGTGGGGGAGCCCAGAATCGAATCGATAAGTCGAATCGGCGATCGAAATTAATCGAATCGGCGGAAATCAGCAGCCAAGTTGGGAGGAGTCGAATCGGCGAAAATCGGCAGCATAGTAGGCCTCCATTGAGAACTCGGATCCCACATCGGAATCCGAAGTCGAACCGAATCGGAGTCGGAATCCATCGAAATCGAATCGAATTTGAATCGAATCGGAGGAATCGAAATGAGCCCTGGGTGGTGAGGGGGGTGGGGGGCGGGGCCTCGGGTCCGAACACCGCCCCCCTCCCCCTGGGGTCCTGGCGGATCCCGCGGGGGTCCCGGGAGGGTCGCCCGCGGGGGTCCCGAGGGGGAGGTCCGGCCTGCAGGGTCGGGTCGGGTCGGCACCGGCCGCAGGGCGCCTCTGCAGAAGTGGTGGGCAGGGGGACGATGCGAGGGAGGGAGGCAACGGGGAAGTGAGGGGGGGAAGGGGGGAAAGGGGGACCCTGAGATCCTGGCGTTGCAATTTTCTCGCAACGGTCGTTTTTGCTCAATGCTGGGCCCTTGGACCCTTACAGATCGATGCGGCTCGAAAAATGGCCCAGAAAAGATAGGGTCCAGTGCTCTGGTCGTGATTGTGTGCGATGTTACAACTGCTTTTGCAGCGGCGGATCTCAGGGGAGGCCGAGTGGTGGTAGTGCCGCGGACGTGCGCGGCGTGGGGTCGAGGGGCTGCACGCACAGGGAGGCGGCCGAAGAGGGGAGAGGACGCGGGGAGGGAGAGAGATAGTGGAGGGTGGCCGCGGGAAGGGGGCTGGCGGAGGGACGGGGAGGGGGCTTTAGTGAAGGGACCCTGGGACACACAAATAAAAAGACACAAATGAAACGATTCCCCATATTTTCCTGTACATTCTGGGTTTTCGCCTTCCCCCCCACTTCCCATATTTTCCCATATTTTCCTGGGAGTCGACGATTAATTGTGTCTGTGTGTTTCTTTCCCTCCTGATTCAGGGGGGAAGAGGGGAGGGGGGGGCGGTGGGGAAGGAAGTGGGAGGCGGGGAGGGAGGAGGCAGATAGCACACTGGCGACCGTCGCCTCGTGGCCCTTGCTCCAGTCGTATGACGAGGCGTATGCGAACATATCACCGGGCGCGTTGAACTGGGCAACCGCCGCTGCTGGTGCGCGCTTGGAGCACGAAAGAGATGAATGGGGGGATGGAAAGAGACAGAGAGAGAGAGAGAGAGAAAAAGGAGAGAAGGCACACGAAAAGGGAACATTCGAATGGTGACGGGGCACCAGGGAAGGGACACGTGATGCAGGAGGAGCCGACAATGAATGACACCGCTGGAAACAGCTGGGCTCGGTAGGAGGGAAAGGCACGACAACACTGCTGGCGTGGATACAGCGAGGTTAAGATGGCAACGAGGCTTGCTGACAGATTCGAACATAAGTCATGGTGCCACAAAGATCTGGACTCATCCACTGCGCCTGGGCTCGCCCATGGAACACTACCACCAAGTGGGTTCCCCCCAGAGTAGTAAACTCGCGCGAGCTGCTGATGCCTTCTGGCAGAGGGAAACAATTAGTGGACAATCCCCCTCTCCCCTGAACAAAAAGGTGGAACGCGCGGGGAAGACTGCGGCCGAAGTGCAACTCATTCAACCCACCACCGCCAACGTTGAGGGCATTGACAAACGAATGTGGCATGAACGTTCGATGCTTTCTTCCGAGACTTGTGGATATGTCACCTGGCACGTGGCTCTACTCAACCTGCCTGCGGTGCGAAACATAAACGAACGAGCAGACGGGAGGAGGGATCAGGGGAGGAGCGAGGCGTGCGGAGGAGCGTTGGGGAGTGCGGAGAAGTGGAGTGATCTGGGAAGGAGCAGGAATGCGCGGGGAGGAGTGCGGAGGAGTGCGGACATCAGAGGAGCGCGGACAGAAGTGGAACGGAGGGTGGAGGAGTGGGGAGGCATGGGAGACGTGCGGGCGAGGCCGGAGGATTGGTCAGGAGCGGGACGGAAGGCGGAGGTGTGCGGAGGATGGCGGAGGAGGGCGGAGGAGCGGGGAGGAGCCGGGCTGGCCTGGCCCGAAGGCGACGCGTCCTTCGCTGCGAAAGAGAGGTTGCGCGCTCTCTGCTACTGGGGGCGCACAACGGCATGCACCGCCACAGGCTGCGCCCTCGGCGGCCGCAGCCAGAGTGGCCTGCTGCTGCTCGCGCCACAGGTGGCGCATTCGGCGGCCGCCGACAAGAATGCCTGCTGGCGGCTGCGACCTGCCAGCCAGTGCGGGGCAACGTTGGGGGGGAGGGCCGGCATAGGGGGACGCGGGGGGGGGGGGCGCATCGACCTGGAATCGGCGATACATCGCCTATAGATCGGCGATATGGCCCTGATCCTGAATCCGCAAGTTCCTGGCCAGGTTCGGGCTATCGGGCCCCTATCGGCGATCATTGGGCGATTGGGGGTCGATGCGTCCCCCCCGATGCCCATCCCCCCCTACTATGGCCCCCGAGTCAGTCTGTCAGTCAGTCAGCCAGTTACTCTGTCGGTCAAGTCAGCAACTGAGTCCACGAGAAAACAGTTTCGGGCTATACCCGAAATCAGATCCGATTTTCAGCGTTCGCATTTTCTGTCGTCTTGGAAGGACATGACGGCCCAGGACGCTTCGCACATAGTCCCACGATGGCGTAATTGGCGCCAGAAAGGACGCCAAGACGGCTCCAGGACGGCCCAAGAGGACCACACGACACTCCAAAAGAGCCCCAAAATGCCCCCAAAGAGGATCCAGACGACCCAAGAGAGCCTGGAAGTGTCGGGATTGGCCGAAGGCCATTAGGATATGTTCATTCGTTAGGTCGCGCGATCGTCTGGGACCCATCTTGGATTGAGACATCCTTTCCTGGTGCAGTCAGGTTGCCAAGGAATTAAGCATGTGCGTTGCAACTGCGTGTGCGCTGCTTGGAATTAGCTGGTCCGTCGCCAGGGAAGCTGTCAGGTGTGATGTACCGAATCAACGAGCTGTTTGCGAGCTCCCGCGGGGCTCATGGCCGCGAGCTTCCGCCTCTTATGTGTGAGCTGCCCGGCCTATGCCCGCAGTTTATCTTATTGTTTCTATGTGTCTTACATTTTTTGATTATATATATATACATCTATATATGTGTGTATATAGAGATATAGTTTAGAGAAAACGCTTAGAGACAGCCCTCTCTAGCACGGCAACACATGGCGCCCACACCGGAAGTGGCAACAGCCATCTGGACGCATGTGGTTGAAGGAGTTTGTTCTTCCAGCCCAATTGCTCCTCTTCGGGGAGCGGAATACCCCCCCCCTCCCCCTGGTGACGGGGCCAAGTTTTCGCGAGCGGTCAAAGCGTCCAAGACTGGGGAAATCCAAGACTGGGGAAGTCCAATTCTTTCAACAGTGGTCCCTCCACTTTCGGAGGGGTGCCGGCCCCATCCCCTTGACACCCGTTTTCGCCCCCCCCAGGACCCCCTCGGTCCCCTTCGGGCCCCCGAGCCACCGTTTTCGGATGGGGCCAACAGAGTGGTAAGCAGGTTTCGTTTGTTGACACTTGCTTTTTTTGAAGCGAATTCGTCAGTCTACGGGTCCGATATTTGTTTCGGCCCTGGTCTTTTTTCCGATCGATTGGTTGGCCAGATGTTTTTGATCTGAGTTCGTCCGGCAACATGTTCAACAAGTGTTCGGCTCTGGAAACTTTGAAGCGATGCGTTCGGTGCGATGTCCCGAACGATTGTTTCGCCCTGGTGTTTTTGGACTGAGTCTCCGTCGGACTACATGTCTGACAATTTGTCGGACCTGGAAATTTTGAAACGATGCGTTCCGGCCGATGTCCCGGACGTGTTTGTTCGCCCTGGCATTTTTGAACTGAGTTCGTCGGGCTACACCGGTGGATGTTCGGCCCTGGGGAGTTTGAAACGATGCGTTCGGGCAGATGTCCCGAACGACGTTGAGCCCTGGCGTCTCTGAATCGAGTTCGGGAAATTTTGAAAGGGCGCGTTGGGGCAGATGTTCGAAACGAGTTCGGCTGGCTACATGCCGTGGTGTTTTCTGAACCGAGTTCGATGGGCTACATGCCCGAAGAGTGGTTGGCCCCGAAATTTTGCAACGATGATTTCGTTCGGCCCTAGAAATGTTGAAACGACTCGATCGGGCCGATGTCCCGAACGATCGTTTGGCCCTGGTGAGCTCCTCGGGCGGGCTACATGCCCGATGATTTGTTCGACCCTGGTGACTTGGAAACGACATGTGCGGCATCTCTGGGTCGTTGACACGCCCTGGTTGGGTTGTAACGTTTCGTCGGGCTGTATTTCCGATCATTTCGGATCTGCATGTTTTGTGGATCGGACTTTATCTGCATTTGGGGAGGGCTCCTGATTTTGATTGGAACGTCCGGCTCGATTCTGAAATATCTTGTCCTAACATGGACGGCGGGTGCATGTCCAATAATTTGTCGTCCGTGTTGGTTATGTGAGACGCCCTGGTGTTGGGTCGAGATAGGAGGAGAAAGTACAGGGAAAAGCGGGGAGGGGAGAGTTAGAGGAAGGGGGGAACGGGCAGGATGATGCCGAGGACGCACGCTGGAGGCTGGGAAACGTGCTGTCGCTCTAGACGTGGTGCGTTCCTCCTACGTCGACCTCTGACTCTCCGTTGGCACCCTGCACGTCAGGCCACGGAACTTCGCTACCCCAGCAAGAGTCCGGCCCAGATCGCCCATCTCACGTGCCCTCGCAGCCTGCGCTTTCGCTCCCCCCCCTTGGCACCTTGCCCGCAGTGATCGGATAATTCGTCGAAGTGAACTGCTTCAGGCGCTGCCTGTTCTCCTGTAGGCAGCAGAACTCTGGGTGCATGGTCAGCACGCGTGACGCGGTTGTCCGTGATTATATGGCGAGATATTCATGATTCAAGGAGTCTGCTGTGTATCCGCCCCGTGCACCTCCTCATCCCTGCTCCTCCTCATCATCATCATCCTCCTCATCCTCCTCATCCTCCTCCTCCTCCTCCTCCTCCTCCTCCTCCTCCTCCTCCTCATCATCATCATCATCATCATCATCATCATCATCATCATCATCATCATCATCATCATCATCATCGTCATCATCGTCATCGTCATCATCATCATCATCATCATCATCATCAGCATCATCATCATCATCATCATCATCATCATCATCATCATCATCATCATCATCATCATCATCATCATCATCGTCATCATCATCATCATCATCATCATCATCATCATCATCATCATCACCATCACCATCATCATCATCATCATCAGCATCATCATCATCATCATCATCATCATCGTCATCATCATCCTCGTAATCATTATCATCAGCATCATCATCAGCAGCAGCATCATCATTCCTTGTTTCACCTCGCATCCCCATCTTGTCCACAATGATCTACATCAGCAGCCGGAATGGGACGAGAGGCTCGCCTGGCAACAGGCCACATGTCGCATGTCACTCAACACTCGGGGGCATCGCACCGGCGTCGCATCCGCGCGAGCAAACACTGTCAGAACATCATGTCCAGGCATGATACCCCACTCCCACGCCAGACCACGGACCGTCTCTTCAAGCGCCCTCCTCCTCCTCCTCCTCCTCCTCCTCCTCCTCCTCCTCCTCCTCCTCCTCCTCCTCCTCCTCCTCCTCCTCCTCCTCCTCCTCCTCCTCCTCCTCCTCCTCCCTCCTCCTCCTCCTCCTCCTCCTCCCTCCTCCTCCTCCTCCTCCTCCTCCTCCTCCTCCTCCTCCTCCTCCTCCTCCTCCTCCTCCTCCTCCTCCTCCTCCTCTTGGCATCGAGGACTGGAGGCTTGGGCCCGCTGGGCGCGCTCGTCGTGCCGCCGGCTGCCTCCGGAGGCCTCCAGAGGCTTCGTGGGACCTCCCGCGGCATCTGGGGGGCCTCGCAGACTGAACTGACGCCCCCGAGGCATCCGCTGCTGTCTGACGTCCGCGTGGGCGGTGGTCCCCCGATCGACGCCCGCATCGGACAGCGGAGACCGCTCGAGGCTGACACGACTGGGCCGCCGTCGGCCTCTCCCCCCGCGCGCCCGCGCTGGCCGACGCGGCGCAAAGCTGGCCGGCCTCGCTGACGACGACGACGACGACGACGACGACGACGACGACGACGCGGCCACCTCCTGTCCGTACCACAACCGATTGCATACTGCTGCTTGTACAGTTGTGGAAAGCACGCAAGAGGGCCAAGTCACCCCTGGGCGATCTCGCGCCGTGATCCTCGCTGCGGCAGGAGCCCGATTGGGAGCGAGGCGTTAACACAGTGCTAGGCATCCCCAGCCGTCGCACCCTCCCTTCCATTCCCGCCTCCACTCTACATATCTACATCTACAATTTATTTTGTACATGGGTGAATCCCTAAACGATATTCAAGACTCCATCGGCGCGTGGTCAGGAAGGTGTGTGCGTATACCTGTATTTCGTATATCTGGGATATGGATATGCTACCCTCCTCCGCATCTGCCCCCTCCCTATTCCTCCTCCTCCTCCTCCTCCTCTTCCTCCTCCTCCTCCTCCTCCTCCTCCTCCTCCTCCTCCTCCTCCTCCTCCGCCTCCCCATCGTGCTGCATCTCCTTGTCCCAGAAGACAAACACGCCGTCTCCACCACCAGTAGCAAAGGTGCCCTCCCCTGGCCCATCTGTCAGAACATCGAAGACGAAGAGCAGGGAACGGGAGGCGGCGGAGGACAGGGAAGAGAGACGCAAGCAAGAAGGGCGGGGCAGAGGTGGGTGCGGGTGAGGGGGGGAGCAGGCGGCGGAGGCGGAGGCGGGGGCGGAGGAAGGAGGGCGGAGGCAGCGGAGGAGCATGAGGGGAGGAGCGGGGCACCGAGGGGGAAGAGAGCAGAAGGAAGGAGAACGGAATAAATGGAGGGGACGGGAGACGGGAGTGGAGGAAAAGGGGTGAGCAGGGAGGGGGAGGAGGAGGAGGAGGAGGAGGAGGAGGAGGAGGAGGAGGAGGAGGAGGAGGAGGAGGCTCGGCTCGGCTCGGCTCTGCGCTCGGGGGTGCATGTCCATCGGCTGCAACAGCACTTCGGGCTCCCCTGCGTGGATCTCTCACGCGCCCTGTATCATCAATACTCGCAAGGGCGCATGCTCAGGGCGGCCCTCTGCCTCGATGATGCGGGAGGGTGCCCCGTCGAGCGGGAAGGCACCCGCATTCAGCACACTCGGGAAAGAGAAGAAGAGGGAGGGAGGACACTCACAAAGGAGGGGGGGAAGAGGCGGAGACGGGGTGGCCTTGGCGGCTGCTGCTCCCTGGCAGCGCGCGGCCCAGGCTGGGCAGGGCAGCTCCCTTCTCCTGTCAGCCCACCAGCCGTCTCCTGGTCGACGGAGCCGCAAGGGCCAGGACCCGCCTACCAGGGCCAGCCCGTAGGCCTCCTACAGAAGGGGACACGCCCTCTACTCATACTCTAGTCTTGCAGAGATCGGGCACCGTGATGGCTGTCACGGAGTCTGCGCTTCACTGCTCTGCACTAAACTTATAACGAAAGAAAAACCCTCTGCCTTCTCTTGTCAGCCCACTATCCTTCACTTGGTCGACGGAGCCACAAGGGCCAGGACCCGCCTACCAATCCTGGCCAGCAGGCCTTCGACAGAAGAAAACGCTACTCGTTCTCTAGCTTTCTCAGCTCTGCACTAAACTTAGAACGGAAAAACTCTGCTTTCTCTAAAATTCTCTTGGCGTGCTGCGACCCTTCGCTCTGCATTTGCCTAAGTCTAGTCATAGCTACAGGGTCGGTGGCTATCTTAGCCATGGGGTCTGCCTGCATAGCTGCCACAAACTCTGCTTCTCTCTCTGTTCTACTGCCTATTATCACGATCATTTCTTCTGCAGCGCCTTCAACTGGCGCTCGACCACCCTGTCTAGCTCCTCCTTCGGTCCGCTCCCCACTGGCCTGTGACCTCCCGCCTTGCGCAGCGCAACTCCCATGGCCTGGAGGAGCCTCACCCCGTTGAACTCCATCGGAGGCTTGGCCCCCGTCGTCTGGATTTTCATCTGCTTCATGGCCGTGGTTATGTCGTAGTGCGGGCTGAGGGCGAACATGACCTTCGTCATGCGCTTCCCGTCGTCCATCTCGTCGTCCGCCCTGAACGTGTCGCTCACTTTGAACATTCTGATCGTCTCCCCCACGAATGCCTGTCCCGCCTCCGACTCGGCCTGCTCTACCCACTGCGAGATGCTGATATTCGCCTGCGCCTCCTCTGGCTCGTTTTCGTCCAGACTCGTCGCCATCGCCTCGAGCGCCGCCACCGACACATGAAGATACGGTGGTCCTAGTCCGTGCCCTTTTCCTAGAGACTGCACTTTTTCGTTGTAGCTCGATCCCGTCTCCTTTGCTGCTTTGATGATGTCGTGCCCTGACGGCACGAGCCAGAACTCTCCTACGATATTTGATAGATCTCTGGCGACGGCAGCTGTCCTGAGGCTGAGCTTCTGCACCGCCATCGCCGCCTGCACGATGTCTCCATCTGCTCCGTTTCCTTGCTGCCGCGCCTTCTTGCCGCCCTTGCCTTTCGGCAACTTTGCTACTGGAACGTCTCCACTCCCGCTGCCGTCTGCTCCTCTCTTGCCGATCCTCCATCCCTTCATCATGGGCGCCCACGACTATGTCTGGGCCGAAGTAGTGGAAGCGGGCGCGATAATGAAAGCTCGCGATGTCAGGAAACTCTTGATCACAAATGTTACAGACCAGAGAATCTGGGGGGAGGATCGGGTGGGACCACCTTGACTTATCCACGTGGCATACTCCGCGTCTTTGACATGCACGCACACAATGATCTAGAGCGACCCTTCTCGTGGAGAACCCCGAGAGGCACCATGGGCACTGATTAGTAATGACTATGTTGGAGAGGGCATCCCTGATGTTGCGTGCTTCTCTTACGTGTCCTTTCAGGGCGCTGATGCTCGAGAACCTTTTCCCGCATGTCCCCCCTCCTCCCTCCTGATGGTCGCACCAGTATGGTTTTTCCAGCTCCCCCAGTGCAACCTCCTCGTCGACCATGTCCTCCTCCTCCACCTGGCCCTCGGGTCCCACCTTTCTTCTCTTCTTTGTGTTACCTAGGATATGAGGATCGACCAGTGACCATCTGTCATGTGCCTCGGTACCTGGGATGAAGATGTCCAAGTCGCTAGAACGTGCATTAAACCATACCGACATGCTCTCGTCCACCTGGGCAAGCTCGTCCATGTCCTCTCGAAACTGGACAGCCCACGGAGTAGACTGGCCAACACTGCCTGGGGGCCACACGTACTTGTCTGGGGCCATCCTCGGGGTCTGCCTTAACTGGTCCAGTCGTGACTCTCCAAATACAGCCGCGAGAACTCCGCTGTGCTGCTCTGGGTACTTAGCCCACGCCTGGTACCATTTCAACCTTCTCATTCGAAGAGTGGTGTTTGTATCGTTGAGGCCCCAGTACTTAAATACTTCTTTGTTTGTGCTGCATCTTGTTTCTCCTTTTTCATCCGTCCAACTCAGGTCTCCTTCTGCTAAACATCTTAGTAGCTTAGCTAACGTCGAGTCGATAACTTTAATCAAGGACGGGGGGAGGACGAATACTACCATACCACTGTAAGCAGCTCCAGCAACGAAAGCCTCGAACATCATCTTTTTTATTGTCTTACTTGTTCGTGCCTTCCAGAAAGCCCCACATTGTCTCCACGCCATCTTTGCAGCAGCACATCGCCGAGATACTTCACCGAGCAGTCCCTGGTCCGACGGGATGTAGGGCCCCAGGACCCTTACCTCTCTGCAAGCAGCTCCGTGCAGCTCCTTAGTCCTTCTTAGCCTCCGGGTTGCCTGGTAGCTCCCCCCCCCTCGAAGACAG